CTCCTCTCTTCGGCAACTGCTACTTCCTAGTGGCAGAGTTCAGGTTTCCCGTCTAGCATCCTTCCACATCTTTCTCACCACTTCTAGAACAGTCTTTCTAAAATGCAGATTTAATGCTCTACCTGGGCTCCTTTCACTGGTCTTAGTGGCATCACAGTCATCGTTAGAACGACCTTTTAATGAGAGCTAAGTTTAAAATCAATGTCTCCGTGAATCCTTTCTGCAGTAAATGCTCTGGACAGCCTCTTGCCTATAGCAAGGTCACCTCTGGTACTTATACTGGAGACACCTGTTAAGTACAGTAACCTATTTTATGGTTTTTTTTAAGCAACCCAGCCAAATCAAATTGTATTAATCAATTATCAAGGCTTTCTACAAAGAGATAGTATGAGCTGTGTAAAAGGAGGGGGGAAAGAAAGAGGGACCATCTTTTTCTTGTTCACTAATATACTTCCATCATGTAGCACAACATTGGGAACCTAGTAGGTGCTGATTAAATTGTTCTTTGATAAACAAATGATATGTGATGCTAACAGCCTTGCTTGGGGATGGAGGACCCACTCATAATGTTCAAATGAAACACATAAATGGCAAATTCTCAGCAAAATAGTATTGTGCTGCAAATAGCTTTACAACCAAGGAATATGAAGTAAACAGAAGAAACAAATATAGTCTTGGAGCATTATGGTAATGAAGAAGAGACTTTGGGGGGATACCCAACACTAGAAGTACAATTTTCATTGCCTATAAAAGTTGGGAGGTCTCTAAAACCTCTTATTACCCCCCAATTACAAATATTTGTGTAAAAGACATTCATGTACAAACAAGGGGTGTTAACTGAGCTGTTTACATTTAAATTGAGTTGCATTTCTTGAAGAGCTGTTAATTATCCTGTAATATAGAAAACTGGGAGTAGGAGTAAAAATACCACACGAAATTCAGATGCTGAAATGTCCCTAGCTGAAGCAGTAAGAATTTTGTTTTTAAAAGAGTAAACTTCAAACATAGAACACTCAAAGCCATCCAGTAAGTGGTATATTAGAACCAGTCCTTGGAAATAGCCAGATTTAGTTGAACCACTGTGCAATGCAGAAGCAGAGTTCGAATCAGAGAATAATAGACACTGGAGAAGGACCCGGGCCAAGACCACAGCAGGGACTAGTTCTCCTCATTCCCGACTGAGAGTTTCACGAAGGTCCTGGTGGGGAAGGATTGGAAGTTTATTTGTTCGGCACATTTATGTGGTACTACCTTTGTACCGACCTCTCCACTAGACACTTTATATGTTATTTCACTTAATATAACAACCCAGTAAAATGGTTATGATCCTTCTTATTTTATGTGAGTGGAAACTCTGTTTCAGTTACGTTAAGGAACGTTCTCAAGTTAACACAGCTCTGAAGTGGTTACGTCAGACTTCAGTCTTTCTGTCATCCTCTAAAATCCAAGTTCTTTCTACTCCAGTCTGGCATACAGATTTATTAAAAAATGATCATAGTCCACCAGGCTAAGTGCTAGTAAACTACATACTTTTTGGTACGTACTTGTGTGAGGAAATGTGTCAGGGATAACACTAATACTGTGGTGGGCAGATACACATGAAAATAAACCCCAACAGGGACTTCCCAAATGCAGATACCCTACGTCAAGACTGGGCTTCATTCTATAGCTGCTCTTTGGAGATCGTGATTCTAGAAGAGCGTCAGCTTTGAAAAAGAAAAACAAATTCTCAACCCTGAGGATGCACCTGTGAGTGCCCAAGAGTACTCAGGTTTTCAAGGGAAAACATACTTACAAACTGTACTGGTATTTTATGAAAATAGCTTTCAGTTGCTAATTATCACTGAAAAATAAGTCTTTAAAACTTGAAAAATAATTCACATTCATATTATCTTTCCTGTTCCTGATAAGCCTGGTACCTACCTGACAAATACATGATAAAAGTTTATTAAATGTCTTTTGAGGAAATATTTTTTGAGCAGTCAGCTTTTAATATAAAGTAGGACTTTATCAGGCAGACAAAGAAGGAAAGCTATTCTAGAACATATAGAAAGTATGGAACTGTTTTTTCATATTTTAAAAAATTTTAGTATACTTTTTGGAACTGTTTGGGTTTACAGACACTTGAGCAGACAGTACAGAATTTCTATTGTGTGTCGGGGGTGTATTAGGCTTTTTCCTTCTTCTGATAAAACAGACATGAAGTTTACATCAGGCAATAAGAGTTTGTATCAGGAAACTTTCAGCTGCAAGTAATACATTCCCTAATTCAAGTCGTCTTATATGTATGGATGGATGTATATGTGTATGCATCATAAAATAGTAAGTCCTGAATTATACTGGTCTCCAGGGCTGATTGATTCAGCTACTTGTAAATGTTTTCAAGAACCCAGGCTCATTCCCCATCTCCATTCTGTCATCCTTGGCTTGTCCTCATTCTCACATGGATAACAGTGTGGCTTGAACATTTCCCCAAATCAGCGTAAGCCCAGGAATGTTCACAGGAAGGAGAGCATGTCTCTTCCATTGGTTTCCTCTTAAGTATGGGGACAGTTTTACAGACTTGATCTACCCCTGGGACTGGCCTGGGGTCAGTGTGTCCCGACTCAGAAGTGCATGGAAGAGAAGTCAGTAACTGAGCACAATCAGGGTTCTGCTAATCAGAAAAGTGGAGGATGGGGGGAAGTAGGAGTAGATTCTGAGTGGGGAAGCAATAGTGTGCACTACAGAGTTTATTGTAGGAAAGCATGGTAATGTTCAAATGGGAAATTTTCATCAGGCCTTCTGAGAAACTGGAATTTCATCCAAGTTCCGTGACCCAGTTTTTTAATGTCCCTTCAACCATAGACATCCATTAACATTACGGCACCAATTACTCTCCATTTTTATTTATATTGTTGCTCCTACAGACTAACTGACTCGAAATAGACCTTTAACTCAATCATTCGACAGGTTATTTATTGAGTTTCTACAATGTAACAGGCAATGCGCCAAGCAGTAGAGATACAGTAATGGGCAGAAACAAATGGTCAAAGAGTGGAGGAGATTACATTAATAAAATATATAATAAATTTGCAAAATTTGTGGTAAGTGCTGTAAAGAGAACTTCTCTCATATATGGTGCTATGAGAGTATGTGATGGGGGAGGGGGGAGAGAGGTTAACCTAGCAAGAGAGGTCAGTTGAGAAAACAGAAAGTAAAGAAAGCTCAAGGATGAGTAGAAATGAAGTAGGCAAATCGAGGAGGGAAGATATTTCCAGAGAAGGAAGAATATGTGAATATGTGCATTGGCTCTGTGACAGGAAACAACATGGTATGGATAAGAGATTGAGGGAAGACTGGTGGAGGTGGGGCCAAGAGAACAAAGTGGTACCAGATGTGTCTGGTGCAAGAGATAGTTACATCGACCACTAGACCCATCTCTTTTGGTCTTGGCTTCTGCTTCCTCAGAATTCCTGCTGCTTGTGATTTCTGGTGACTGACGGCCTTCTCTGTCTTTTGGCTTCTTCCCACCTCCGTGTTAAGAGTTGTCTCTGGATAGCTCACATTCACATCATCAAAGAGATTATCTAATGGTGTCAGCGAGTCATCGTTCTTGATAGCGTGATTCTGATGACAGACAGGATTCTCACAGCCACCAGCTGTGTCTATCCTACTGAGATAACTACTTTTATGTTAGGTGTCCCTCCTAGGTCAGTCCACCATGGCCAGAGTTTTTGGGGTCATAAGTAATTAACATGGTAAAAAGGAACTTTTCAGGAGGGGGCACCTTCCATGTCCCGTCCAATACATAATGAATTGGGAATCAACTCTGGGCTATCTTAAATGGCTGCTTTTTAATTAATGTAGACCATAAAAATTATAACTTTCCTGCACATGTGTATCACTAAACATCAATTGACAAAGGCATTTATAAGTAATTACTACTGTTAAATTACTGCTGTGTGCTGGGCTCTGTGCTAAGTATGAAAAATGCAGAGATGCACTGAGACTTTTTGCCCTCAGTGAGCTAACCTCACAGGTTAGCAAGAGACACCAATAAGTAAACCAACGATTGTAGTAACGGTCTGGTAAGTGTCATGGGTGGGTACGGGGTTCTCCGAGAGAGCAGCAGGCTCTGCTAGCTCGTCACTGACAGGAGCTAATCAGAAGGAACGGCATGTACAAGGACACAGACACATGACAGAACGTGGTACACGTGGGAGCTGGAAAGTGCTCAGGATGGCTAGGATTTAAGAGCTAGGCATAATGCACATTGTGGCTAAATATGGGATTTTTTACTACTATTAACAATAGTAGTTAACACTTATTAAATACTTACTGTGTACCATAAGTATATGTGATTTATATATATAAACTGTATTATGATAAAAAATTTTTAAAAATAAAAATTTTTTAATTTGTTAAAAGATTTCTCTCATAGCATAATTAGATCTCTAGTCAAAAGCAATTCTCCTTTATGTCTACTCTACAAGTTAAGAATGATTTCACCATTGCAACAATTACTGCAAATGCCCTATCTAATCCTGTATTTCTGACTGCACCTAGAACTTGTCTATGAAATATTTGCAAAAAGGGAAAACAGTTTGTGCTGACGATTAATAGTATCCACAAATCAGACCCTATTACCAAAAATGTTCAAAGAGAAACCTGTAATCCAGAAACCCAAATGATCTCACATAGAAGAAAATAAAGCTAAAAACAGGAGATGTATATATATATATATAACTAGTTTAAAACTTCCCACCATGCAGAATAATACAGGGGAAGTTAACATATCCAGTATATAAATGAAAGTAAATTCTAGAAACCAGAAATAAGCTTCTTTCCAACAGTACAGAGTTCTCCCTCCCCCTACCCCATTCCTCCCCTTTGTTAAATAACAGCAGACGGACAAATACAAGATTTTAGAGTTTGCCAAATTTGAGAAAATGAGAAAACACAGCCAAATATATAATAGTCACACATGGGGACATTCATGAGTAGGACAAAAATGAAGCAACTTTGCCAATATCACTTTTTAATTTTGAGAATTTTACCATAATTTTGAGAGTGTGCATTTGAAGATGAAGTAGGCCCAGAGGACTCCAGCTGCAACTCAAAGTTCGTTTGTAAATTAAATTTTCAATATTTTCTTCAACAAAAATTGATTGAGTTCCTTCCATGAGCAGGTTCTGTGAGGAATACAAAATAGAATACAACCTAGTCTCTACCCTCAAGAAGTCTCCAACTGTTTACGGGATGTATGTAATAAAATAAGGAAATTTATGGTATGAAATACTGTTGGGGAGGTACAAACAATACCCTTTTTGAAAGAGTTTGTGGTTTTCTACTAATGACTATAAAATAGCATTCGCATAGATTACTGGGACCGCATCTACCCTGTAGCCACAGCAGCGATTTCAAGTGCAAAATCAAATTTGATCATCTCAGCTCTTTGTTTAACATAGGGGCTCTCTGTTTCTCTCAGACTGCAAGTTCAACGCTAACATGAATTTCATAGTATTTCCCCATGTCCTGGTTCCCCACCCCCCGCTCATTATTCTAATTCTGTTTTTCATGTCTCTGCTCTTTACAATCTATGTTCCAGACAGCCTGGACCCATTCCCCAAAGCACCATACTTACATGTGTGTTGTTCCTTCTGCTCGAGACCCTCTTCTTTCCCCCTCTCCCCACCGTTTGTGATTCTCCAGCAGACCGTGAACTACGTGAGGTGAAGGATTCTGCCCCTCTTGCTCGCCATCAGCTCATAGAGGCCAATCGATAAATCTTTGCTGAATGAAAGTCACTGAAAGTACATAAAATTGGCACATCGTGAGGACAGGCTCGGTAGAGAGGAGCTGGCCTCCTCACCGATAGACAGGAAGAGAGGGTAGGAAGAAGCCTTCGCAGAGCGGTCACTACTGACAGTGGTGGCCTCATGTCCCGAACAGTCGGGCTTTCTTGTTAGAGCTTAGCACTGCGATTTGGGAGAATTTCTAGAATACCAGCTGCCACTAAGGAAACAATAGCTGTGACTGTTAGCTTAGTAAAAGCTTCTTCGCTGGGCTCCAGCTTTTCTACTGCCTTGCTGGCAATGTTGTGGGACTCTGTGTGTCAGTGTGTGTCTGTATCTGATGGGCAATAATTATAGTTATAAGTTATCATTTGTTAAGCATTTCCTGTGTGCCAGGCACTGTACCAAGCATTTTTAAAAAGAGTTATTCCAGGGGCACCTGGGTGGCTCAGTCGTTAAGCGTCTGCCTTCGGCTCAGGTCATGATCCCGGGGTCCTGGGATCGAGCCCCGCATCGGGCTCTCTGC